TTGAAGAATCAACCAGCCCTTAGAATTCTCCTGTATTTGTTGCTAAGAAGAAATCTGGAAAATGGTAGATGGTAACAGATCTAAGAGCTGTTAATAAGGTGATTCAGCCAATGGGTTCTCAACACTCTGGAATTCCTTTGCCTTCTCTGTTGCCTAAAGCATGGCCTCTTACAGTTACTGATTTAAAAGATTGTTTCTTCACTATACCTTTACAAGAAAAAGACAGAAAAATTTGCCTTCACAGTGCTACTTATAATAATTCTCAGCCTGCTAAGAGATATCAATGGAAGGTTCTCCCACAGGGAATGAATGTTAAATAGCCCCACCCTGCACCAATATTTTGTAAAGCAGCCATTGGAAATGATATGTAAGCAATTTCCTCAATCTATAGTTTACCATTACATGGATGACATTTTTTTTTTGATTCAAATGTAGATACTTTAGAAAGAATGTTTGAAGAAGAAAATTTTCCCTTGTTGGGGATTACAAATTGCTACTGAAAAAATATAACAAGGAAATTCCATTAATTATTTAGGCTGTAAAATAGGCTTACAAAAATTAGACCCTAAAAAGGTGCAAATTAGGAGAGATACATTGCAGATTATTGACTTTCAAATAGTGCTAGGAGACATCCCATATACATATTATTGAAATAAAACCTAATTTAAATAAAACCTTACATGGTAACAAAGACTTTTTTTCTTTTTCTTTTCTTGTTTTGTTTGTTTTTGTTTTTTTGATTTTTCGAGACAGGGTTTCCCTGTGGCTTTGGAGGCCGCCCTGGAACTAGTTCTTGTAGACCAGGCTGGACTTGAACTCACAGAGATCCGCCTGTCTGCCTCCCGAGTGCTGGGATTAAAGGCGTGCACCACCACTGCCCGGCCGATGACAAAGACTTAAATAGTCCAAGGAAATTATCAGCTGAAGCTGAGAAAGAATTGGCTTTGGTGGGAGAGAAATTACAGATTGCACAAGCAGATTGTGTGGATCCAAAGCTTAACTGCATTCTGGTCATATTACTCTCTAAGCATTCCCCTACAGGAATTTTAATGCTGAGGGAAGATATTACCATAGAATGGACCTTTTTACCACATACACTGAGTTAAAAATTAAAAACTTTTGTGTAAAAGTTTATGAGCTAATTCTAAAAGGAAAATTGAAACCATCAATTAGCAGGAATAGACCCAGCAGAAATTTAGTACCTTTAAATAAGAATGGAATTGACAAATTATGGGTAGACAGTGAACCCTGGCAAAGAGCTTGCAGTAATTTTTGGGGAGAGATTAACAACAAATATCCCAAAAGCAAGAGAATTCAACTCATAAAGAGAAATAACTGGATCCTTCCTCACATTGTAAGGCAAACACCAATAACTGGAGCTCCTACATTCTATACTGATGCAAATAAATCAGGAAGGGCAGGTTATAAATCAGAAAATTGAAGTAAAGTGGATTTAAGATCTTTTAATTCTGTCCAAAAGTCAGAATTATATGCTATTCTCATGGTGTTAATGAATTTTACAAAACTTCTCAACATAGTTACTGATTCGAAATATGCAGAAAGTTGTTTTGTATATTGAAACCACTGAATTTATACCAGATGATACAGAATTGACTTCATTACTTATTCAGTTACAAGAAATAATCAGGATTCATCCTATATATGTAACACACATCTAATCCTATTCGGGTCTAGAAGACCCTCTAGCACATGGTAATGATGAAATTAATTATTGATTGGAAATGAAGCCTTGGAATTTCATTTAAAAAATCATGTTAATAGCAAAGGTTTGGAAAAAGATTTTTCCATCACTTGACAACAAGCCAAGGAAATTATAAGAAAATGTTCTACTTGTTCTCCATAAAAGTCCTGAAATATTTGTTTCTACTGTTCTCCACAGACATATAATGCAAGTGGTCTTTTTTGTAGTCCCAGTCCAATTAAAGATTAAAGCTGGCTTTGGAGTTGGAGGGTGGCTCCCTCCTTCTCTAAACCCAAGCATCCTTGTTAAAGTAAAATCCAAAATCTGTCTCATGTCAGAAGAGCCACATGATATGGGACAGAAGAAAAACCAAAATTAAGAGACTATTGTATTACCACTACTCTTGTAATCCTTTGGTTTTATTTTTATTCACTGAAACTTTTCTGGAGGTATAAATATTATCTAAAAATTTATAAGATGTGTGTGTGTGTGTGTGTGTGTGTGTGTGTGTATGTATGTGTGTATTTTAAAGTTTTTGTCGTGATATTAATGGTCATATCTCATGCCAGAGCCCGGCTTCTATCAGTCCCATGCTACAGAGGCTATCTATTGCAGACTGATGTCTTTGGGGCTTGACAGGGTCCATCCATGAGTCAGGGAGTGCTGGACCGGGAAACTCCTAGCTACCCAAAGGCAATAAAGACAAGACACAGACATCTAGTCTTTTCAGGAGGGCTCTCATTCCATGCTGATGTCTGGAGTTCATGGTTTATTCAAGCTTCCTCTTAAATAGCTTTCCCACAGTGGGGGTGACAGCAGAAGACATCTATCATATATAAAACTGATATCAAAAAATTCTTTTAACCCTAGCAGCACATCTAAACAGTCCCTAGGCATATAAACAAGTCCTCAAAACAGGTGTGGGTGCACCCAGGGCCTAGGTCTGTTGTTATGCAAACTAGGAGACATTCTCCACTGAGGCCAAGCCATCTGGCAGTAATTAGCTGGCATCTGAAAGACAACTGAGATTCGAGCACCTGGGATAGAGTTTGAGGCCTGTATCTGAAATACCATAATTGATACTTTTTGGGCCTCGACAATAGCATACTAAGTCTAGAGAAATGTTTCATCTACCTTGCTGTACATGATTTTGGGTTTGAGTCTTTTATCAGTTTCCTGCATCGAACCATGAAACATGCCTAACAGTGACCTTTGAAGTCTCCTAAAGGAGGATGGGGCCTTACAATGACAATTCCACCAGGCTTATGATAACACCACTAAGCTGAACAATACCAACTAAAGATCAACTTTGGACAAACCTCTAAGAATAACAGGTGGCTAGCTGACATGGTCCAGCCTCACAGACTACTCTAGCCAGGACTTAAGACAAGCCCTGACCTTTCCCATTTCAGAGAGACAACAAATGATACACTTCCAGGACTTGACAATTAACTCAAAATTTTCTTCTTAGGATCCCCTAATGATGCTATCGCCCCAGACAAAGGGAAATAATTTTAAGAACATGACACCCACATTCCCAAGACGTGGGGTGGGTGTTTTTTGGTCATTCAAAGGGTTATGGATATTTGTCATTTGTTTAGGGGATTGGTTACAAGTTGTTATTGGTTATGGCCAGGAAAAAAAGCTAAACAAAGGAGATAGATTCAGAATTCTTATTTTGAAAAGAGGCATACAGATTATGAGAGGATAAAAGGGTAGATTATTGAATCTACTTTGAAAAAAAGGGGAGGATATAGATAGATATGAGATAAAAAGGTAGATTATTGAATCTACTTTTAAAAATAAATACTTGTCTTAAATATTTTATATTGGATTGGACTTTTATATATTGTATATAAATTTTGTATATTGATACAAATTTGAGACTAATTTGGTTAAAACATACTGCACATGGTTCTAATCTTGTTCAACGTATCTCAATTAACAAGGTAATGCAAATTTCTAGTCCTTGAAAGTTACTACCAACTATATAAGATAATAAGGAAATGCAACTTAGTAATTAATCACCTATTACAATTGAATCTGTAGTCATATTAAGTACGTTTACAGGTCAAACAGATCTATTTTAGATAGATCATCTTCAAACACTTCAGAGAAGTACAGAATATGACATTTAAAATGTTTTAGTAATGTAGGTTCTTTTTTTTTTTTTTTTAATAACAATGAGACATGTCTGCTCTTGGCAGCACCAATCTACTACAGAGAAGATGATGGGCATCGAAGAAACTCCACCTGGAGTTTACTTTCTTAGTGGCAAAAATAAGCCACAGGGTAAGAAAGAGCCCTTGCCTTGGCTGCTGACAGTATGTTGTCCAAATTGGACAAACAAGACCAAAAGAGAGTGACTGCAAAACATTGCCAAGACAAGGCAGGACAGTCCTTCAAAAATCCTGCTTCACAGAAAAGTCTGTCAGATATGCTAGGTCTGTAGGCCAAATATGGATGCCCCAAGGTTGCAGAAGAACCTTGGGTGAGTGTCTAGGTAGCCAGCTGTTTCTGTCATTTCTCACATCTTTTGGAAGTTGCTTGCTCACACTTCCTGCTTACTCAGTTAATACTATTTCCTTCTTGGGTCTCTGAGGAAGTTGAAGACTAGATATAGTTTTCCTTGTTTACCAGACTCAGAAAAGAAACTCACTAAAGAGGTGTAAAGTATAAAAGGTTGAGAGACATTAATAATTTGATCATGCAAATTAGAATAGAAAGTGAATTAGGTACAACCTTTTGAACTCACCAAGACAGGATAGATAATGGAGTGTTTTCTCTGAATTTATCAAATACAAATGGACAAGACATTATTGATATACTTATTGCCTGTATATATTTCATATAGTTATTACTTATTGTATTTAGTTTTTTATATCAGTTATAACCTTTTTGTATTAGACAGAAAGGGGGAATTGTGATTATTTTGTTTATGATATAACAAATAAAGCTAGCCATACTAGTCAGCCATAGAGGCCAGGCCATGGTCGCAAACACCTTTAATTCCAGCAGCTATTCTAGTTTGCCATAGAAGCTGGGCAGTAGTGATGCACGCCGTTAATCCCAGCACTAGAGAGAAATATAAGGCGGGTGCAGACAGGAGTGCAGTGTATTCAGTCTGCAGTCATGCTGAAGACAGGATCACCCCAGCCTTGGTAGGGGTGAGAACTCTCTAGTGGCTGGCTGCTTTGCTTTTCTGATCTTCAGCTTGAACCCCATTATCTGTCTCTGGGTTTTTGTTATTCATGCTACAGTTAATTCTTTCTTGTTTCTGTCTTTCCTCCCACCAAAGACTGGGTCTCCCAAGAGGCATCAGAACACTCAGATACCCTGCCAGTGTCTTCACAGCATCCAAAGAAATTAAAATGTAAGTCACTACTTTTCATTGTATTAATGAGTGAAATTCAGGAGAATTTAGAAACGGACCACTTGGCCTCATGTGTGAAGGAAATAAACAGGCATCACCAGTGGTAGACAGGAATGATGTGGGCACCTAGGACACAATCTCAAACTGTGGGTTTATAGGTGTGCACGGACAACCTCCCATCCATATATCTCATTGCTTCGGATACTCCATACGCCTGGAATGACAGGCTTTGGGTTTTGGTGACAGGGTACTTCGTTTAGCTGGATGACCTCAGAGGTCATTCATCCTGCAGCAAGTATTACAGCATTTTCTTCATAAGAATAGACAGTGTCCTCCTGAACACATGATAGCACATAGGTTCACACTGTTTGAAACAGACTTGTCTCTTCCCATTCATAATCTATTATCCATTTGAATTCATATTTTTCTGTAGTTTACAATCATCACTGAATCATTTTGTGCTCAAATTGCTCAAGTGATTGCCTATGGAAGATCTTTTGGGCAGACTTCCCAATTCTTATGATACCAATATTTTAAATTTTTTCAATAAATTCAGCATTATAGAAAAACTAAAAATTAAAAAGTATTCCCATGTGTTCTTTGAGTAGGTTTTTCAGAATGTTGCCACATTTGGTACCTTGTTCTGTATTCTTTGTGTTCTGAATTGAAATAATTTAAATGTCAGGCAGGGATCTCACTGTGTAACCAGGCTGGCCTTGAGTTCTTGGTTTTCTAGCCTCAACCTCCTGAGAACTAAGATTATAGGTAAAGGCCACTATATCCCAAACATTATTAATTTTTACATAGTATGTTTATCATTATAGTTGTTCTTCCCCATGTCCCTCCTCTTCTGCGGTGCTGGGGGGTCGAACCTAGGGCCTTTCCATGCTAAATGACCTGTTCTCCTTTTCCCTCTCCCTGTACATTTGCTAGTTAGCATTCTGCTGTATTTGGCTCATGGTTTAAGAGTTTCAGTCCATGGTCTCTTGGTCACTAATTCTGTACTTGTGGCCACATAGCACATCATGGCAGGGACATGGTAAAGGAGGCCTGTTTACCTCACAGAAGCCAAGAACCTAAGAGGGAACACAAAGGTTGTGGTCCCACTGGCCCACAGTGATGTAACTTCCTTCCATGGGGCCTCAGGTAGGTTGTGTTTGGGGTGCTGGCCTGATGTGCTAAGAGAGTGCCCGGTTACTGAGTTTCGTACTGTCCTCAGCCTGCTCCTAAAATATCTACCAGTGTGGGATGGCTGAGGACCACACATGTGGACATTAGGCAGACAGTCATGGCTCACAGAACACAGAAAGCAAAGATACTGCTGGGCATAGTGGTGTAGGCCTTTAATCCAGCCCTTAGGAGGCTAAGAGGATTACCTTGAGTTCAAAACTACCCCTCTCAAAAATAAAGTTATTTTTGTTTCTTTTTCTAATCACAGAAAATGAAATTCATTTTTCCCCGTCTTGTAAGTATAATTTTTTACACACTCATCAGGAAGGTGTCAGGCGTTGCCATGACCACCATCCGTGGCATAATTATCAGCAGCCTCTCTCACGTTATAGGGAAGGGTAAATTGTGTGACTGAAGCAGAGGCAAAAATGAGCTCCTGTAGGCAAGAGCCTTGCCCAGCATTACTCACTGGAAGTGGAACACCAGGCCTCAAAGCTGTCCTTGAATGGGTAGAGCTGACATGACCTTGGTTCCTAGAACAGGAGCTGGACCCAAACTCACTGAAGCCTCAGGCTCTGCCCTGACACATGGAGCCTCAGACACTGCTGGGAAGCTATGGCCTCTCTAGTCTGTAGCAGGTAGTAACCATGACTTGGTCAAAGAGGGTTCCTTGACTCTGTTCTGAGTTGAACTACATTTATCTTTCAGCACACTGTGACCCAGCACATACCCAGTTCTTGGATTGTCCTGGAGGCCCTTGCCCTGGTTTCTAGACTCCTTGGCCTTCAGGGATATGCTGGTTAGTTTTATGCCAACTTGACACAGCTAAAGTCATCAGAAAGAAGGGAGCCTCAATTGGGAAAAATGTCTCCATAAGATCAGGCTATAGGCAAGCCTGTACAGTGTTTTCTTAATTAGTGATTGATAGGGGAGGGCCCAGCCCACTGTGGTTGGTTCCACCTCTGGGCTAGTTGTCCTGGGTTCTGTAAGAAAACAGGCCAAAAAAGCTAAAAGGGAGCAAGCCAGTAAGCTGCACTTCTCTATGGCCGCTGCATTCACTCCTGCCTTCAGGTTCCTGCCCTGTTTGGGTTCCTGTCCTGACATCTTTCAGTGATGGAATAGAAATGGAAACCAAATAAACCCTTTCCTCCCAAGCTGCTTTTGCTCATGGTGCTTCATTACAGCAACAGTAACCCAACAAGGGACTAATAACCTTTTAAAATGACCTGCTGTTATCACCATGTGTGATCTGTTAGTCCTAGCCCTCATGTACAAACATGTATCCTTGAATATGTCAAAGTAAAACTTGCAGGCTACTGACATACAAAAATTTCCATTCTAGGAGGGATTGAAATGAGAGAGATTGAAAGTTATTTTTAAATGCACAAATTCATATCCTACTTTTAAAAAATGAATTGTTTTATTTCATATGTATATGTGAACACCTGTATGCATATGTGGTACCATGTGTGCCTGGTACCTAATGGAGGCCAGAAGAAGGAGTCAGATCACCTTTTTTGGAGTTTCCAAAAAAGCCATACCTCCTAATAGTGCCACTCTCTATGAGATTATGGGGACCAATTATATTCAAACTACCACATTCCACTCCCTGGCCCCCATAAGCTTAGAACAATATCATAATGCAAAATACATTTAGACCAACTTCAGAAGTCCTTATAGTCAGTAACAATCCCAAGCTTGTTTCAAAGTCCAAAGTCTCTTCTGAGATTAATGCAGTCTCTCTCTCTCTCTCTCTCTCTCTCCCTCTTGATGCAAACTTCGAGAGGCTTTATTGTTGTTTAACGAGCTAACCCCATGTTAGCTCGGGTCTTTCATCCATCCACCATGGCGGATGGCTACAAAAGACAGTTCGAAGCAGCTGCAGAGAGATTTTGTAGAGCAGCATAAGGGGAGTGTCTAGGGGTACGCACAGGCTCAGGATTGGTGTGCCTCCAGGCTTGGAATGCACTCTCTTAACTGTAATCCCCTGTAAAATCAGAACCATAAAGCAGATCACATACTTCCAATATATAAAGGCACAGGATATACATTACCATTCCAAAATATAGGGAAGGGAACAAAGTGAGGAAATTTGTTGACTGCAACATACTTCTTCCTTTTGGGCTGGTTCTACTCCCTGTTAACAGCTTTCCTTGGCAGGTATACCCATGACTCTGGCATCTCTAACATCTTGGGGTTTCCAAGGCAATCCAGGCTTCAACCTCACAGCTTCACACAATGGCCTCTCTACTGGGCCTCCTTTCAGGGACACTGCTGACACATGCCTGACCCAGAGGCTTTCTTTAGATTTACCTCCATGACTCCAAAACCAGAACCAAGTGGCCGAAGCTGCCAAGTTCTGCTGCTTGCTGGGGCTGTTATCTTCCCCCCTCCCTTGTTCAATTACATCTTCACCAGCTTTATGTCTTTCACTGTCCAAGCTTGGATATCCTGAAACTTGTTCTGTAGACCAGGCTGGCCTCAAACTCAGTGATCTGCCAGCCTCTGCCTCCCAAGTGCTGGGATTATATAGGTGTGCATGACCACACCCAGCTCTAAACTTTTCTTTCTTTCCACAAGTTGGAAACTTACCTGGATGGGCTCTTGCCCTGAGACCACCTCTCCCTTAATCTCTGTATCTCTTGGAACACAGAATTTAGCTCTATTCCACTTCCTAGTGCTCTTTTTTTTTCTCCTCAGAATTTTCATTTTGTAATTTATCTTGCTTAGCTTGCTCCTTTTCATTATAAATTTTCATTAGCGTTACCACTAAAAACCACATGACTAGTCTATACTAGGCTGTTTTGAGATTTCTTGGGCCAATGGAATTAATCCCCAATTCTTCACTTTAGTCTCAGGCAGACTCTTTGGGCAAGGGCAAAAAGCATTCACTTACTTCACCAAAATATCACAAGAACAATCTCTAGGCAGCATACTAAAATTCTCCTCTGAAACCTCTTGAGGTAGCCCGCCTCCCCCACCCCCAAACCACACCCAACACCACTGTCTTCATGCTTCTACTAGTGTGGCCCATTAAGCAGTGCTTAAAGCATTCCACTGCTTTCCTAACCCAAACTCCCAAAGTCCATTTTACTCCAAACAAAAATCATGGTTAGGCAGTCCCTGGTACCAACCTGTGCCTTGGTTAGGGTTTCTATTTCTGTGAAGAGGCACCATGACCATAGCCACTCTTATAAACATTTAATTGGGGCCAGCTTACAGTTCAGAGGTTCAGTCCATTATCACCATGACAGGAAGCGTGGTGGCAGGCCTGCATAGGTGATGCTGGAGGAGTAGCTGGGAGTCCTACGTCTTTCAGACAACAGGGAGTCAACTCAGATACTGGGTGTTATCCTGAGCACAGGAGGTCTCAAAGCCCACCCCACAGTAATACTCATCCTCCAACAAGGCCACACCTAATAGTGCCACTCCCTATGAGATTATGGGGGCCATTACATCCAAACTACCACACAAATAAACACAAAACTACTTGGGTCTGAGACACAACGCTCTTGTCAAAATGTTTAAACATTTTAAAAAATTCCAGAGAGAGTGCCAGGATAGGCTCCAAAGCTACACAGAGAAACCCTGTCTCCAAAAACCAAAACAACAACAAAAAATTTAAAAATTACCTTTACAGAGGAAGAAAATGTGTGTTTCTCTCCCTCCATGCTATGTGCCCTGGGGAATCAAACCTGGCACTTAACCTGCTGATCCATCTCTTTAGCCCTTGCTAGATAATGTTTTTCAAAGCATTGGGCATGAGGGTACATACTTGTAATCCGAAACTTACAAGTCGGAGACAGGTTCACAAATCTGAAGCCAGCATGAGCTACACAGCAAGACCCTGCCTGAAAAGAGAAATTAAAATTAAAGAAACAACTTCCTGATGTATAAGATGAGGGATTTTTTCACCTATGTCTAATTTTTTTCAAAACAGGGTTTCTCTGTGTAGCCCCAGCTGTCCTGGAACACACTTTGTAGACCAGGTTGGCCTCAAACTCAGAAAGATCCACCTGCCTCTGCCTCCAAGTGCTGGCAGTAAAGGTGTGCACCACCAGTGCCAGTATGTCTAATATTTTTGAAGCATTTTTATTTATTTTGGTTTCTCTGTGCAGCCATGGCTGTCCTGGAACTCACTCTGTAGAGCATACTGATTTCACATCCATCTGCCTCTATCTCCCAGGATTAAAGGCATGCACCACCACTGTGGGGCTTTATTTTTTATTTCATATGTACTGGTGTTTTTGACTGTATGTATGCATGTGTGAGGGTGTCAGATTGCCTGGAACTGAAAATTCAGACAGCTGTGAGCTGCTATGTGGGTCCTGGGACTTGAACCTGGGTCCTCTAGAAGCGCAGCCAGTGCTTTTAACCACTGAGACATCTCTCCGGCCCCAATAAAGAGGTTTTAAGCAGAGTTTAAGTTTCCTTGGGAAGAACAGAAGTTACTCTGACTTTAAACCTTATCTCTAGGCCTTCTATAAATCATCTGAAATTGCTTCTACGATGATGCTCTTAGAAGACATCCCCAAGAGACATTGAACTCAGCAAAGCAGAAGTTACCTGCATTTGCATTTAAAATTATCCTTAGGTGGGATATAGTGAATCACTGCCAGCCAACTTTATAAAGCATTCACTTCAAAAATCACAAAAGTAGTACAAAAATATTATTTCCAAAAAAAACTGAATCTCTTTAATGTATTTTTTTTTTCTACTAGCCCCCAGCAATGGTAACCAAGACATGTCAGCCTGGTTCAATCTATTTGCAGACTTGGATCCGCTCTCCAACCCAGATGCCATTGGACACTCAGACGACGAGCTTCTCAACGCCTGACTGGGGTCACAGGTTCAGGGGTCTCAAGGCAATGTTTGCCTTTGTGGAGGAGTCCCACTGTGACCACACACAGAAGCGTGTGTTCAGGATAGGACATCTGTCTGCCAGCCTCAGTCAGAGGGTCTGGCAGCCTAGCAGCCTGTGTATTTATTATGCTGGGTGTGCAAGCTGTTGATAGTATGTGGGAATTTTTACAAACTCCCCAGTCTGCAATACTGAGAAACCAAACTTAACGTCTGAATCACAGGAGATGGCGTATTTCTTTGGGAAGTGTTCTAGATTTAAGTTCCTTTGTTGTATGTGGGTAAAGAATAGGACATAAAGAGGCTATAGTTTGGGGTGAGTTTGATAATGGCAGGTGTTTTGTTTTGGGGAATAGCCGTAGATTAGAATGCTTTCTTCCTGATTACAATGTAGAACAGATTAGAGAACGTGGTTTGCTTTACTGAAATTAGAGAAACTTGTGCTTGCTTTTCTGTAATTGGAAGCTAAATGCAATGGTACTTTTCATTCACACACAATCATGGAGACACCTAGTTCCATCATTAAATTTTCATGGGGAAAATAGCAGGATGGAAATTCCATCTTCTATAGAAATGGAGGAAAGTAAGACTCGAAAGGCTATTTCACAAATTGCTACAGTGACATTCCTCCTGAAAACAAGAGGGAGAGAGAGTGATGCCTACCTGGGGCATAGTCTTCCCGAGACCTCCAGACACTTCTATGTGAACGAGGGAAACAGTTCAAACACCTCATCTTTATATATATTTGTACTCTCATTTATTCACGTGGTTTAAGCCAGAAGGCTTTCTGACAGACATGGACAATTCCATAGAAAGTAGGGCAGCCCACACTCTTCCTTTCTGTCTAATTCCTGAGATGGCGTCTGAATTCTAAGCAAAAGCTGCTGGCATAGGGTTTGGAGTAATTTCTGGAGGGAAGGCTATTTATCGGCAGGTGGGTTTGCTGGTAAAAAGCATTGCCCATGGACATGCCGCTCACTCAGCTTCCTGCACTTTCCTGCCTACCCTTTAGTTTGGGCGTACTTTTCCATCAACCTCAAGGAACATAACTTACATTTGGGTCTGTGCTATTTGTCTTTTCGAGGGTATTCTTCCCTTTGAGTTTCTTCAGTTATCTGTCTATCTTCTTCACAGGCATCAGAGGCAGCCTGATATCTGGTAGAATAGATACTTCAGTGAGTAGGAAATCAATACTCTCTCCAGGCAAATCTTGAACCCTCAACTATGAAAATGAAGGGTCAATATTTTCCAATTTCTCAGATCAAAGTTACCACAAATCGACACACATATAATTATCATTATCAGTTTTTGGTTATCTTTCAATACCATGTATGGTTTATTTCCTATATAACCAGGAAGCCACATTAACTGCCTTACCAAGTTTTGTTATAACTTCAAGTCAAACAATCCATTTGATAGCTTATTAAATGAAAGTTATTTGTACTATTTCTCATGATTAAGTAATTTGAGGCTCAATCATTAATAATTTGGTGGTTGAAAAAGACATTTTGTAGGGCTGGAGAGATGGCTCAGTGGTTAAGAGCACTGACTGCTCTTCCAGAGGACCTGGGTTCAATTCCCAGCACCCAGATGGTAGCTCACAACTGTCTGTAACTCCAGTTATAGGGGACAGAAACACCCATGGCAAAACACCAATTCACATGAAGTAAAAATAAATTATTAGAAAAGGAAAAAGATGCTGGGTGGTGGCGGCACACGCCTTTAATCCCAGCACTCAAGAGCCAGAGGCAGGCAGATTTCTGTGAGTTTGAGGCTAGCCTGGTCTACAAAGCTACACAGAGAAACCCCATCTCAAAAAACAAAAAAAAAACCCAGGAGAGCCAAAATTGAGTTACTTCTGTGTTCCAGAGTGGTGGGGCTATACTTTGACCAATGAAATAGCCTTGACTCTTGGCATAAAGAAACTAGAAAGAAAATTAAACTAAAAATATTAGTCCAGTAATACTGGCAAAATACATTAAAACATAGCACAGAAAGCTTATTAAATATGCCATGTCCTGGCTGAGGAGAAAATGGTAGTTAAAATGGGTTATGCCTTCCCATCTCCTCTGCGCCATTTAAAAGGCTACAAGTACAGTAGAAAATTTTTTTGGAGACAGGCTTTCTCTGTGTAGCCCTGACTGTCCTGGAACTCACTTTGTAGAACAGGTTGGCCTCCAACTCAAAGAGATCCACCTGCCTCTGCTTTCCGATTAAAGGTGTGCGCCATCATCGCTCCCTTCTTCCCCCAATCTGTAGCTGAGGATGGAACCCAGGGACTCTTCATGCACTGTAGCTAGTGCCATTGAGCCACACCCCAGCCATGCCTTGGGCAGTTAGTCAATACAAAAACATACTTCTCCACTCACTGTGTAAATAATGAGCTACTGGCTAAAGATTAAACACAAAAAAGGAAAGGACTGCTTGATGCTAAAGTCAAGATTTTGAAGTGTTTATTATAAATTGGTCTTTCAAGATAGGGTTTCTCTGTGTAGCACTGGCTTTCCCAGAACTTGCTCTGTAGACCAGGCTGGCCTTGAACTCACAGAGATCTGCCTGTCACCTGAGTGCTGGGATTAAAGGCGTGCACCACCACACTCGATGATTTGTTACCCTTTTGATGTTGGGAATATAGCTCATTGTTGAGTACCTGTCTAATACACTTAAGGGTCTGTGTTCAGTCCACAGTACAGTGTTAACAAGCAACACTGTCCATATCTCAAAAAGGGGAAGATGAAAAATGCGATGGAAGCTAGTTTCAGATTCACTAAAAGGCAAGCTCCCCAGATTAAAGAAAAACATCTCTCATTATGTGAATTATAGTAAAATTAGAGACCTAAGAGACCGTGTCACTAACTTCTTGGGTGATGAACTGATATCTGTGCGGCATCCTGAATCAGGGTGCCAGCAGCTGTAGCAACAGAGCCCAGGAGGACAAGGCTCAGTGACCTGCAACTGCAACCAGATGACTTTATCAGTGTTGTCAGTGCAGGTGATAAGGCTAGGCTGCATGTTCCAGAGTTAAGTCCTGGATATGGACATGGCAGAAAAAGATTTCCACATCTCTCAGACATGAGAGATGGTTGGTTGGTTACTTAATCCCAATTTTTGTCATCTGCCCAACAGGTCCTTGCTTCTTGAGGCAATCACAAAGAGTGAAGTAACAATCAGTGTCTGACAACAGGGTTGGGGCTGGTAAATAAAAACTAAAATGAATTTGAGACCATTTCCATGACTGACTCCTTCCTTTAGTCTTATAATTAAACTTACCTGATTTCAAAAACAAAAAAAGTTTGCTTACAGCTCTCTTACCTTTTAACACCCCACTCAAGTGACAGCAGTTCCTTAGTTGTACAAGTGAAAACTGAAGTTCAAAAAGGTGACTTTAGGCTCCAAGTCCCATGACCACTAAACAGTAGTGCTAGAAGTTACCACCCAAACTGTGCCCCCACCCAGAGCTTTGTTCTCTCCAGACCCCCGAAGCCTCTCCAGCAAGGCTGCTCCAGGCAGGTGGAGACAAATCAATGTGTTTCAAAACGACTAAATCAAATCAAACCATGGTTGTTTTGTTTTGTTTGTTTGTTTGTTTGTTTTTCTGAGACAGGGTTTCTCTGTGGCTTTGGAGGCTGTCCTGGAAATTAGCTCTTGTAGACTAGGCTGGTCTCGAACTCACAGAGATCCACCTGCCTCTGCCTCCTGAGTGCTGGGATTAAAGGCGTGAGCCACACAACGCCCGGCTTCAAACCATGGTTTAAATGAAAATGTCACCAGGGAGTGTCACCAGGAGTGGCATTGTTTGGGAAGGATTCGGAGGTGTGGTCTTGTTGCAGGAGGTGTGTCACTGAGGTTTCTAAAGCCCATGCCAGACCCAGTATCTCTCCACCTGCTGCCAGCAGATCAAATGTAAAGCTCTCAGGTATTGCTCCAGAGCCATGTCTCTGCTTCCTGTTGTGATAATCTAAGTCCCCAATTAAATGCTTTCTTTTAGTCATCACTAGCAACCCCCCCCCAAACATACACAGATGTTGCTTCATTTTTATCATAATTTTGAGTAAGAAACAGTTTTACAGTATACCCTGCTGTGTATCCTGTGTTTTAGGGGGTCATAGACAGCTTCCCAGCATGCACAATGCCAGAGCTCAACTTGAACACAAAAATAGTCTCCTTAAGAGAAAACTTTTCTACTCTGCTTGGCAGACTTATTTAATTCAAGACTAGACCATTGTTTAAAAACACTGAATCGGAGACACAAAGGCCCAATGGTACCATGTTGCATTAGAAAAATTCAGAAGATAATTTCACTTGGGTGTAGCAGCACACATTTGCAATCCCAAACACGAAGTTAACTAAAGCAGGAAGATTATGAGTTTGAGAGGTCAGCCTGACCAGCATGGTGAGTCTGAGGCTAGCTTGGGCAGCTTAGAGTAAGTATTGTTCCAAAGACGGTGTATGTGTGGGGGGTGGAGAGTAAGGGTTACAGTGTATGTGATTATGTGTGGTCCTGGGTCCTATTTGAGCCAACACACACACAGTTTACATTTGTGATTATCTTTTTGTTGCTGTTTCTAGACAGGATTTCTCTGGCTGTGATAGAACTCGTTCTGTAGACCAGGCTGGCCTCCAATTCAAGAGCTACACCTGCCTCTGCACTGCAAAGTGCTAGAACTAAAGGTGTGTGCCACCATGGCTGGCAGAATGTGTCATTTTAGTTAGAGGTCAGTAAATAGGTTTATGAGGTTTTAGTATGATTGGAAGCTGTAAGATGTGGGGCTGAGAATCAAACCCAGGCCCTCTGGAAGAACAGCCAGTGCTCGTAACAGCTGAGCCATCTCTCCAGTTTATCTTTTGAAACAATCTCACAACACAGCCCTATTCCTCCTGTTTCAGTATTCCAAGGGCTGGGATTGTGGTGTGTACCACCATGCCTGGATCAAGAATATAGACTTTATTAAATTTAACAAATCTGGTGATCAAGCTACTTACACTTATAATCATGTCTCCTCCTCGTAGGTGATTACATGACAATCTTCACTGGTCTGACCTGACCAGCTCTATTCCATAGATGGACGAAACACCCCTGAGACCAAGCATTCTTGCAATAATTAAACAAACAAAGAAAAAAGCCTTCGCCATGTAGTACAGAATACTGATTTCCCCAAGCTAAAAAAATCTGTAACAATCATGGAATTAGTGGGTTGTTTATGAGTGAATGCATGTCAGTGTGCTTTTGTGGGGCCATGTCTGCATTGCACTTACCATGAGGACAGTCTACATTCAATTCTAGAGCAGGCAGGGGAGGCCAACAACAGCTTGGTGTATGTGTTTTTTTCTATCAACTTGTGGAAGAAAATACACTATACACAGGCTAAAAAATAAATGAAACTTGAATTTGTGGCAATATTCACAAAACACACAGGAAAAAAACCTCAAGAACAACAGACTTTATTTGAACATAGGAGTTCTATTCCCTGTGAGGCAGCAGGAAGCACTCGGCTGCAGGGACACAGTCCACAACAACAATACTTATGGTTGGAAATGCTTCTTTTAGGGGGAGAATTTTGTTATAACTTTAAAAAATTGCATTAAAAAAGATTTACATCAACAGAGACAAAGATGCAGAGTTTAAAAAACATAAATTATATATCTCCAACAGGACTGTATAAACAAAATACTGTTCAGAGCCACTCTGCAGGTCACTAATGAAGGCAGAGTACCCAGAAACCTTAAAGTGCAGTTAAGTATCTTGGCTTTCTTTTGCAAATTCAGCACTTCCATTGGTCTAGTTTTGACACACCCCAAACCCAACATTAAGGAATGAATTTCAACTTTTACAAATTTAGTAGTAGTAACAATTTGAATTTAGTTTTCCTTGAAAACCATAACATCTCAGTTCTAATCCCAGGCATAGAGAAAGCTAAACATTCTGCCTTTTTTTTAGACCTTCTTCTAGGAAAAGCCAACTGTTTCTTTAATCAAAACATAAAAAGTAAAAACAAAGATAGGCAGTCTTTTCCTGTTGCCAGATACACCCCAGTTAGCAACAGTGTCTTCTCAGAGGCAGATCTGGTTATGGTCCTAGGGTCTAAGAAACACTTTAAACAAAATCAAGAATCTAGTATAGAAATAATTTTGACATTCACACCATATTTAACCAAAAAAAGCAAAACTACTATTTTTAAAAACACAATTGCCCATAAAGCAATGGTAAGTAACAGACTTACCATCTCAGAGACAGTAAACCTGTACATTTATCATGGCAGGGCAGAAACTGCTTGAGGGTAAAGATAGACAAATAACTAGGGAACAGCTCCTTTGGCCAAAATAAAACAACAAAAAACATGCCACCCACTTTTACTGCAATTGAAGTAAATTTTTTTAGTTAAAAATTTAAATTAGGGACTGGGGAAATAAGCCAGTGACAGCACTTGCTTAGCATGCACGAGGCCCTGGGTTTAATCCCCAGCACTGGAAAAAACTGTATTTCCATTAAAGCTACTCTACTGCTGTACAGTTTCTACAGAATAACCATAATTATGGAGTATGGTTTGTGAATATAATCATACTCACTCTACTGAGAGTAGACCCATTTTTAAAACCAACCACCTGGGAATTAAGAGATAAATAAAACAGCTAGGTGGATCTATGGTTAATATGTTTTAAGACTTCAATAAAGCTCATATGCTTAAAAATTAGCCCTTTGGCCCTGGCAGTTCAGAGTTGGTTTTGGACCTAGACCTTTTTTGTTTTTCTTCAGATCTCAGGTTCTATTTCTCCAAAACTCAAAAGTGTTTGGTCACCGTACAATTCATTTACTAGGAAATTCACAATCTTCTCCCAACCCAAACCTCAGACTAAAGTTCTAAGAGCAGATTGACCTGAGACCTGTCGCCCTCCGTGTTACTTCAAAGATTCGTGCAACTGCAGAGAACTTGATCTGCCCAACAAGTACAATACAGTAGGGAGACATCTATTACAGAGTAACACTATTTGTAAAGCAAGAGAGAAGGTGGTGCACGACAAAAGGAAAAACATAACAAAACATAAATTTAATAGAATTCAAGTGTGTGTGTGGGGGACCCCACAGGATTAAAAAGATGACAAGTAGGAAATTGGTAGCGCATGCCTTAATCTCAGTACTTGGGAGGCAGAGGTTGGTAGATCTGAGTTCCAGGCAAGCTAGGGCTACATAATAAGAGCCCATCTCATAAGCAACAAAGTAAAACAAAACCCCTTGCTTTTAAATGCTGCCTTCTCCTTTCAGATCAACTCAACTGACTGCCATGTGCCTTTCTTCTGTACTTATGAGACTGGTAAAATAGTAACGTCAACAGGCATGACGAGGCAGAAAAAATATAGGTACAAAAAGAAAAAAAAAAACTGAAAAACAACCAACAAGTCTACACCTCAAACAACTGAGGGTTTTACTGACTTAGAAGCTACAATTTACTAGTGCCCAGAAAGTTAATCTTTGGATGGCTAAAGTACCAAAATTTATCAGTCTTCCCAACCAAAAACTGATTGATTCACATAGATGTTCAAATTTACATGACTAGCCTACGATAAAATGCCCAGACATTTGAGGTAACTAACACCTAGCAGGAAACAAACTGCTAGTACCTCGAGGTTTTGATGGATCAACTGGACCAGTGGGTGGAGTTAGCCACTCTTGAAGGCTTTAAAACTTGTCTGTTGTATGCAGCAGCATAGGTTAGTGTGTGACAGTATTAAAACAATCCTTCACCAACACTGATGAAATTCACTTTCAAAGAGCTGCTCCTTAATTTTATTACCACACACCTAGAAATTTAAATACTGTTATAGGACACTGGCAATGGTTATCAGATGAACCCAAATCCAAAACTGTATAGATTTTCCAAAGGTACCTGTTGTTTAAGCTCAAACCTCTTGTTTATTTCCCCCAGTGTGTAGAATGTTGGAGAAGAAACTGGAAAAATCTGTAGGCAACAAATCTCAGTGCCAACCGTCATCAAGAAAAAGTCAGTCCTCAGGGTTCTTGGGCTACGGATTGCTACTCAGTGGATTACACTCCTGGCAAACTACTAACCCTGACCAAGTCCACAAGACAACACCACCACGAAAGCAGAGGAGGAAATCCATGCACAGCCATTTCAGGGTCTCTTGGGGCTATGATACAGTGATGATTAAAGGGAAAATGACACCCGGCGAAGGAGGGCAACCACGTGACACAGTTCACAGAAAACCAGAGAGTGCTGCACTCCTAGCTAACGATCCACACTTCACTTTCTTTTGGCTCACTGACTGTTAAAGCACCTGTCTTTCTTCAGACTGTCACTGTTCTGACCACACACTGAGATGTGAGCAGGATAGTGCAGGAAACAGCAGTTTTACAAATACTTCACCCAAAGCACAAATTTTGACATCAAAAAACATAAATCACATAATGTACGAATATTGCTTTTTATCTTTTTATATATACTTGGTTCAATGCATTTACCTATCAATTCTTATTTGGGAGAAGAACATAGTCATGAGATTGACATTGCTGGGGAAATGTCAATAATCCCTTTGGTCCCAAAGCTGAAAACAGCTGAGAAAAGCAACACCTAGAAAAGGGAAAGAAGAAACAGAGGCCACCAAAGACTCTTTTGAACATCCTGTTTGCTACTTCAGAAAATGTAACATTGGTATTATAAAAGAGTCATTTTCATATAAAAGATGGTTCTCTTGCAGCATCAATCACATCCCCCTTCAGAAATCATGTTTGCAGGGATTAGGTTTCATGTTTGTTTTGTTTTAAACAAGTCTAATTTGAAAACAAATGAAAATGTGATTTTGTTCCTCCAAAAGTAAAGAGACCTCCCATGTTTCTGTCGGCGGCATTCATGCGCGGGGCAGAGCACTCACAGGGATGCGTTCTTCCAGTAGCCTCGTTGTCACACATCACTGGAAAGCCAAAGCACTTCACAGCCAACCGGGAGGACACGAAACCATCACAGTCACGTGATCTGCAGGGGTTCTCAGTTCCCAGGAACCAGACATGAGCTGGGACCTATCCTTCAGCTTCCTCAATTGGTTCTGGCGGTGCATGGAGGGAGGCGGATGGAAGGACTGTACTGGTTCCTCGGGACACCCTGTCTTGCTCTGTGTTTGCAGACAGGGAGGCCATGGAGATGGGCTGAAGCAAAGTGGTTGTCATGCCAGTGGTGACTGTCAGGCTGTGACCAGAGCCCTTGAGGGTAAGATCTGGTGTGGGAAGAAGCGGCTTGAGGATACTCACGAGGCAGAAAGCAGAGCCACTTTTAGGAATGAAATTCACCTTGTTTTTGTCTGGACAGTAAAAGGCTGGAATTTCATGAAGTTGTTTTGGCCTGGATACAAACAGACAACCCACTACTGTAAGTCACTGAATACTGGAAATAACATCATTTTTTAGATACAGGTACATTTAAAAAAATAGATAAATAAGATATAGATTTCCGAAAGCAAAAGAAAACCCACATGCATAGAGACAAATATGTTTTCCAACATGATTTTTCCAAGACTCTGAAGATAGAGGAGACAACAAAAACTGACTATATAGAGTCGGGTTTTGTTTTTGCTAAATTACACCCCTACAGGTCTATGCTTTGATAAGCAAAGGTTTTCAAGTATTCTTTTATGCTTATTTTGGTTTTTTTTTTGTTATTTTTGTTTTGTTTGAGAAAGTCTTGGTAAGTCTGGCTGTCCTGGAACTCACTCTGTAGACCAGGCTGACCTCAAACTCATTTCAGAGAAATAAAAGGTAAATATGAAATTTAAACAAACAAAAAAACCAGGAAGCTTGTGGGGTTGTTTGGTTTCTTTTGTTTTTTTTTTTTTTTTTTGGTTTTTCAAGACAGTTTCTCTGTGCAGCTTTGAAGCCTGTCCTGGCACTCGTTCTGTAGACCAGGCTGGCCTGGAACTCACAGCGATCCGCCTGCCTGTCTCTGCCTCCCAAGTGCTGGGATTAAAGGTATGCACCACCAATGCCCAGCATGCTTCAGTTTTTCGTGATGTTGGGAATGGAACCATCCAGGGGCCTTTACCACTGAGCTATATCTCAGTCTTCAAAGGATTTTTTTTTTTTTTTTAAATGTGCGTTGATGTTTTGAGATGGGTGCTGGGTCCCCTAAAGTTACAAACAGTTCTGAGTTGCCATGTGGGTACTGGGAATTGAACCTAGGTCCTCTGGAAGAACAGCCAGTACTTGCGCGCTCCCCCTGTCCCCCCCCCTCCTCATTTATTTGTTATGTATTTATGTGCTCTATCTGTATGTATGCCTGTACGCTGGAGGAAAGCACCAGATCTCATTACAGATGGTTGTGAGCCACCATGTGGTTGCTGGGAATTGAACTCAGGACCTCTGGCAGAGCAGTCAGTGCTCTCAACCACTGAACCGTCCCTCCAGCCCGACTTCAAAGTTTTTGTCAAAGCATAATTCTTCCCTGTTGCCAGGTCCTCCAAAAATTATACCCCAGCCGAAAATATTTTGGTCTTAATGGTATTCCATGAAAATTTTAAAACTGCCAAAATTAAGTTGTTAAAATAACATGGAAATATCACAAAACTGAAATAAAATCAAGGTGAAAGAACCGATGTAAGACAACTTTGATGGAAAAGACCCTGTTAACAGACAATAAAAATACTGTTCTCAGCTGACAAGATGATAAAGGTGACCACTGCCAAGCCTGACAACTTGAGTTCAAACCCTGGAATCCAAATGATGGACGTGAACCAATCCCTTCGGGTTGTCCTCTAATCTCTGCACAGACACTGCGGCCCACTCGCCCATGCACTCGCACATCTACACAAGCACACAGAACAGTTTTTTACAGTCATGTTGTCATCTCTCCCAAGGACAACTGAGTTCATTAAGGACTGCAGTATGTCAAGCTGCAAAGACTCTAAGAATAAAGTCCATATTCTCTACAAGCAGACTGGAGTGGGTTCTGTATACAAAACCATTTCAATATAATTAGTCTCCTTTGTAATGTGACATTACTTATGGATCTACCGACTGAAAAACTGTACTTAGCACGGGTGACTTGCAGGAGAGTTTGACAAGCATGGCAACTATGGTTTGTAAAAGTTTAGAGGCAATATAAGGAGAGCTAGTCTATAATGGGAGTCAGGAGTCTGAAAGAAGGACGGCTTCTTCAAACCTGTGAGCCAGACATTAAAGGAGTAATATCAGACTTGGTGACTGGGCTCTAACAACATGGGTGTTCCTAACAATGCTGTGCAGACTCCACTGACTGACACGGACACCTCTCCAAAGACAGTCTGCCAGTACAGCCAAAGAGCAAAAGAACCAACAGGACTTAAATCAGTGGAAACAATAGCAGTGCCACAATGTTTCTGGGTGTTTTATGAGAAGAACACACACTCAATTTTTACCTAGAATATCACTTGTAATAAAGTCAATGCTACATTTCTATAATAAAACAATGCTTAAGTTTCCTTTGAAGGTAGGTTTATTAGAGATGATATACTTTGATGCCTCCATCAAAATAAAGCTTTTTTTCTGGAGGGGGGCAGGCTCATAGGCTGTCCTTGAACTCACTATGTAGCTAAAGTTGACCTTGAATTTCTACTTCTTCTGCTCTCAGCATGAATGCTGGGAATAGAGGTCACCCAGGGCTTCACACACACACCTGGCAAGCATTCTACTAACTGAGCTAGCACAATGAACTAGGCTTGTCACTAATCTTCGACTTGCCTGATGTTTTCTTATTTAAAATTATTTAAGACAGGGCAAGGGATGCTTGTGCTCTCTAGTTTAAAAGAAATAAATGGCTTAAGACACATGGTTCCTGCAGGGCAGTAGTGGCGCACACCTTCAATTACAGCACTTAGGAGGCAGAGGCAGGTGGATCTCTGAGTTCAAAGCCCAGTCTGTTCTACAAAGCTAGTTACAGGACAACCAGGGCTGTTACACAGAGAAACCCTGTCTCAAAAAACAAACAAAAAAAGACACGTGGTTCCCAAGGATGAAGCTTGTATTTGTAAAATACAAGGTCCTGAAAACGGAGGAATGTGAAGGTGAAGGAAATGCGCTGAGGTGGCAGGGATGGGAAGGGTATGATCAAGATACACTGTTTACAAGGACGGCATTGTCAAGAATAGTCATCTCTTTTTGATGTTGTTTTTGAGACAGGGCTTTTCTGTGTAACAGCTCTGGCTGTTCTGGAATTCTCTCTGTAGACTAAGCTGGCCTGGAACTCAAGAGATCCACCTGCCTCTGTCTCAGGAGTGCTGGGATTAAATGCATGAGCCACCATACCCAGCAAATAAATATTCTTAAAAAACAAAACAAAAAAAAAACAACAAAAAAACCCCATAAACACAAAAATAAAAACTCAACTTCTGCACAGTTATAAATCTGGAAAATACATTTTAAAAAATGACAGGAATTTAAAAGCCATCATTGAAATGACAATCAAAACTACACTGAGATTCTATTTGACTCTAGTCAGAAAGTTCATTCCCAAGAAAACAAATGAATGCTGGTCAAGAGGCCAGGCCATGCATGACTTTCACCCAGGGTTAGTAGGAAGGTAAATGAATGTGTAGCCACAATGGATCAATGTGGAGGTTCCTCAAAGAACTCAAAAAGTACTACTCATGACCAGCTTACTGCTTCTGCGTATTTACTTTGAGGACTCCAAGCCAGCATAACACAAAGAAATACCTCAATAGTAAGGTTTCAGCTTAGAATGATGAATGGATAAAGACAATGTAGTATACACCAACTGCAGCATTTTAATTGGCCATTAAAAAAAAAGGATAATATGAGCTGGGCATGGTGGTGCATGCCTTTAATCCAAGAACTGGGGAGGCAGAAGGAGATGGAAAAGAGACATCCAGACACCAGAAATGGGGAAGAGGAAGTCAAATACCAAGAGTTGATAGTTTAAAATTCTACTTTTTGAGGGTTGGAAGGTTGTTATTATGGAGGACACAGGCTCAATTCCCAGTACCCATATATTGGCTCACCACCTTCTCAAACTCCAGTTCAGTTCCTTCTAGCCTCTGTTGGCACCTGGCACCCAAGTGGTGCAGATATAACTCATATACATAAAAATAACTAATAAAAATAAGGAGACTGCTTATGGGTAGACTGCTTAAGTAGTACGTGTGAAGGAAGCCCTGGGTTCAATTCCCTCAGTACCACACAGACAAGATCTGCCACTTCTTAAATTATCTTCTCACAGCAGTATGACTGAGCCTACTGGCAGTAAAGTATTAAAAATTGTGAAATTACTGGAGACCAAAAGTAGGCAAAATCCAAGGGCTACATGGTCTTTGGAAAGGAGAACCACAATGGGTGAAACTGTGCTTCACCTTAAGTGAATAGATGCTATACCTACCATGTGAACTTGACTGACTGCAAGATACAAAGTCACAGAAGAGTGGTGAGATAGCTCAGCCAAGCCTGAAAGCCTGAACTCAACCCTCAGGACCCACATGGTAGGAGAGAGCTCTTACTCCTCAAGTCATGTACAGGCAAGCAGGCACGCACAAGCAAGCAAGCACACATTCATGCACGCGCACACGCACACGCACACACACACACAGAGGAAGATGCTCTTACGACACCTGAGGAACTTGGAAAAACTGGATGTTAACAGACATCAAATATTGCTCTGTAGTATGATAATACATGGGTTATTGTTATTCTGGAACTATTTCCAACAAACATTGCAGAATACTTACAATTACATCACTTGAGTGGCAGATCTGTAATTGTCCCAATGCTCTTTCAACTTGTCTGAGAATTCTAACTTAGAAGTGTGTGTCTGATGTGAAACTCCCAAAGAGTCACTAAAGAAGTTATATATTTAAAAAAAGTGTGTTTATGTGGTGTACTTACGAGCACTCCTCAAAAACTTTGACCCGTTCACAGCCCTCTGGAGGTTCCCTTTTGAACATGTAACTGTTGTTAGGTTTTGGTGAGGTTGCATATTTTGGCAACGGAGAGTTGTTTCCATTCTCTGTTTAAAAAAAAAAAAAAAAAGACATAGAATTATTAAAAACACTATTATAAAATGCATCCTGGTAGCATAAGCAATATTCCTGGACTTCTACAAGGGAACTACTTGAAGGCAGGAAAGTGCTTTCTTCACTAACACCGCATGTGCCGTATTCCTGACTTTCTACTTAGAATGGTCCTAGTATATGCCTGGGTCACTCAACCCTTGCACTGCACACACACCTATATGGCTGCCTTATTCATATGCTATGTACTTTTCAGATACATTCAAACAATATCTATTTTCCCCACTCTTGTATTTGAAATGATTCTTCAATGGTTGCTTGCTAATAACTTTTGGCCTGCCCAGAAAATTTCCCAATCTCATCCTGCTGTTCCTCTTGGGTCTCTGCTTGAGGTCAAAGCTGTGTAAACCAAATACCTCCTCCTGCCCACAGCTTCCATCACCTACAAGAAATAAATACTACTGTTTCCAGAACTCTCCCCAAATTTCCCTATTTTCTGAACTCAGCCCAGTTCCCATTATCACAGGGAACATTTCATTACTGACACTTGTGCTCAGCGCTGACATCCTCAGTTCATACTAGTCATTTACATTTCTTGGTATGTTATGTAAGTATTCTAAAATTTTCAATCCGTCAGCTGAACTATAAATCCCTTACTGGAAAGTGCTGTGATCCTGTTTCTTAATAAAAGAAATTCACATGAGCCATCAATCATTCCTTTCTAAAAGTCAAAGGCACCAAGAAATACAATTATTCCTAGGTCAGAGAAAATCAAAAGGATGAGAAACCAAGGGACAGATTTTAACAGCTATCCAACATAGAATCTAACGTTTCCCCCCACACACACACCTTTTATCCCGAGACAGGGTTTCTCTGTGTAGCCCTGGTTGTCCTGGAACTTGCTCTGTTGACCAGGCCGGCCTCAAACTCACAAGAGATCTGCCTGCCTCTGCTTCCTGAGCGCTGGGATTAAAGCTGTGTGCCAACACCACACAATTTAACAAGTTTTTCTTAAAAGTCTAATTAGGGGGCTGGAGAGATGGCTCAGGTTAAGAGCACTGACTGCTCTTCCAGAGGTCTTGAGTTCAATTCCCAGCAACCACATGGTGGCTCACAACCATCCGTTATGAGATCTGGTGCCCTCTTCTGGTGTGCATTATACATGGAAGCAGAATGTTATATACATAATAAATAAATAAAATCTTAAAAAAAAAAAAAAAAAACAACTCAGCTTCCTAAACTATAGGTTGTGACCCATATGGTGTCCCATAATTGAATGTGGGGTTACAAAAAAGCCAGCAGGAATAAAAGGTTTCTTGGTGCAGAACAACCCAAAACCTCAAACACGTAAGGAATCCAGGTGTCCCTGGTGTCCCTGACCGTGTTGCGCAGCGCACCTTCCCTGCAGCCTGGGCTGGGGGCAAAGCATACATATGCTGCACTGCACACACAGTCACACCATACCAACCCAGGCTGCCTGACATCCTGAAAGCTCAGATTCAAGGTTGTCAGTTAATGAACTAGTGTTTTTACTGTGGAAAAGAAAGACACTTATAAATGTTTTCTTATAATTCCTTAGGATGTGGTATCCAAGAGTCTATCTTGGATAAAATTGATGTTTATGTCTCTGAATTCAGTTTCACTTAAAAAAAATTAACTAAATGACACTGGTTGGAGATTAGGACAGTTTCTGAAATGGCTACACACTACGTCTACTATTGTATACTATGCACTTGTGCAAAGCAGCCTTCTCAGCATTGACAATTACACATTCAGAAAGTCAATCAACTTGAAAAATGTCAGAGATGCTCTATACCATCTTCGACAGAAAAAAATTCAGCAAGACTGAACTCTTGCACACATGCGTGGAATGTGAATGTAAATATTAATAAAGGTGCTTTGGATTCAAACTCAGGTCTTCATGTTTGCATACTAAGTGCTCTAACAACTGAGCCATCATCTTAGCCCCACGATTTAACTGTTTTTACCTTAAACTGTGTGTATGTGGTGCATGTGTTCAATGCCCAAGCACATGCGTGTGGAGGCCAGTGGTAGCCAAACGTCTTCCACTATTAAACACCACCATATTTTTTAAGCGTTTTCGAAACAGGACCTAACTATACAGCCCCAGATGGCCTAGGATTCACAGAGATTGGTTTACCTCTCTCTGCTTCTCCAGTGCTGGCGTTAAAGGTGTGTGCTATCATCAAGCCCAGCCCCAAAGTTTTTGTTGATCTTTTTAGATAACTTTACTTATTACTAGTGTGTGGGCCTGCACGCACATAGGAAAATGAGAGGACAATTTTGGGGAGTTGGTCCTCTTTCACAGTGGGACTCACAGGTTGGGCAAGTGCTTTTACTTGATGAAACTATGCTGCCTTCAGACAGGACCTCTCACTGGAGCTTGCCATTTTGGTCTGACTGGCTGACTGCTCATCAAGCCCCAGGACTCCATCTATCACCGCCCTCTAGTGCTAGGGCTATAGTCATACTGTACTGTGGCTGGAAGATACAAACAAAACAACTGTTTCAAAAAATAAATTTACGATGTATTATGAGTTAATGCTTAATTTGTATATCTCTTTTATATACCAATATACTCAGGGTTCCAAAATTATCTCAGGGAAAGGGTCCTAAGTAGAGAAGATCTAAGAAGCCCCAGCTCAAAGTTCTGCTGTTGCCAGATGCAAATGCTGAGGTGATGGCAGTAGCAGCTAGTGAAGATGACATGCCAGGGGTTCCAAAGACATCACTACCAAACTAAGCTAGACAATTTACAAATTAACTGTCACAACATGGCTTTCTAGTACATACAAGAACTATGATTAGGCTAACACAATATACTGCTCTGATATAGGCAGATCAAAAATAATCATATTTTTTTTCTTTTTTGTTTTGGTTTCTCTGTGTAACCCGGACTGTCTTGGAAGTTGGAGATTCACCTGCTTCTACCTCCCAAATGCAAGGATTAAAAGTGGGCCAGCACCATCTATCTGACTCATATTTCTTTTAAAAGATAAGATTTTGTACTTAATATTCAAATTGCTTCTAATTTTAATTTAATTTTACTGTATAAGTACCTCCGATCTTTAGAGAATGTTTAAGTTTTTACATGTATATGTTGCCCACTTGTTTGTATGTGTCCCTATATGCATGCAGTACCTGGAGAGTCCCCTGCAACTGGAGTTATAGATGGCTATGAACCTGAATGGGTGCTGGGAACTGAATCATGGTCCCCTGCACGAGCATGTGTTATTAGCCAGTGATCACCTGCCAGCCTCGGTTCCCTCCAACCTTTGAAAGTTTGCTTTGAACACTCATTTGGCTTTGAGATAAAGCAAGTTCAGAAGTATTCTAAAAAGCACTAAATTGAAACTTCACATTTAATTAAGACATATTAAGGTAATAAAAATCCCAACTAGTCAAATGATCAAGAACAAAGTGTTTTCCAGGAAAATAGCTATTCAGTCCAGCAGTTCTCAACCTGTGGGTCAAGACCCTGATAAACTCCATCTCTAAAAATATTTACATTACAATTTGTAACCGTAGCAAAATTACAGTTATGAAGAAGCAATGAAAATAATTTATGGTTGGGGTCAGCACAACATGAGGAACTATATTAAAGGGTAGCAGCATTAGGAAGGTTGAGGACCACTGGACTAGTCACTAATAAGGAAGCCATATTCATCATAAATGCTGCAAAAAGAGAAGTAGAAACAAAGCCTTAACTAGACCACCATCTCAGCACCACAGCAAAGCTGCACGCTCTGAACTCCTGCTCTGACCCCATTACTCTGACATGTATGTCCCATAGAAAGTAAACAGAATATATGATAAAGCAGGAGGTATTTCATTATCACCCACTGGTGCAACTCCACCCCCATTATACCTTTATCCCTGGGATCAGCAAGCAGGTCATCAGCTGAACAGGGACTCTCCTCACTGCCCTCATTGGAGATGGTAAGGAAGGACGTTGGGGACACAGATTGAGAGCGGCTGCTGTTGTTGCTGCTCTTGTCTGCCCCCCCAGGGGTCTGTGTGTCGATGCTGCGAGTGCTGCTGCTTCTCTGAGCCAGGGGTGGAGGTGCACGATGACCATCGGGAATATCTTGTGGCTGTTACAAAAATACAAGTTTACACTATTGATTTCGAAACTTACCAGCAATGCACCCAATGTCAACATTCCTCTGTGGTCAGAAACTTACAATCAAATTCTAAGCTACAAATGTGCCGCAAATCAGTGTACCTAGCACTTTGGAGGCCAAAACAGGAGGGTTCTGACTCTCAGGGTAGCCAGACTACATAGCAAAGCAACATTTCAAAAACAAACAAGCAAGCATCCATCCTCCTATTACTGTGCCTTTCTCATTAGTTGTGGCTTTCATGCCTAACCTGCCACCTCAGTGAGAACCATCATCTGTGACACTGTTGGTTTTCTCAGGGCATGGAACACAGGAGATCAATGTTTGCTGAATAAATGTACTGCACTGAATGGTATCATGTACTGTTACTTCTAATAATTAAAAAAAAAAAAAAAATCACAGTAAAGGCGAAATTCAGGTGTGCCACAACGATTTTAGGAGAAGCAAAGGTAAAAGTGAGAATTAGCGACACTGGGTAGGCCCCTGGTTCCTATGCCCTCCTGTCCATTCCCATCAAAAATCCTCCTCTTCCAAGAAAACTTCCTATTGAGTGAAAGGTTAATCACAGCAGTTCTAATTACAGGGTGAGATCAAGGAGACACTTAGGAAAGCTTGTGTGGCTCACTTAGCAGGCAAAACAGCCCCCCTACAATTTTGGTTTACTTAGCTCTAATTAGTGCAGGAAAGCATACTCCATCCCCCAGAATGGAGGACAGCAATGGGAGAGTTCTGTATTTCCAAGCATAAACCAAGCTTGTATCTTTTTGTTTGTTTGAAATAGGATTTCAACACATAAGCCAGCTGGAGACATCCTGACTGGGACTACAGGGAACTCACCACACCCAGCTGTCTTCACCTTCAAGGGGAGAATTTTATATATCTTTGAAGTGTAGTTGGTTTTGTTTTTTGTTTTTTATTTTTTATTTTTTCAAGACAGGGTTTCTCTGTGGCTTTGCAGGCTGTCTGGAACTAGCTCTTGTAGACCAGGCTGGTCTCAAACTCACAGAGATCTGCCTGCCTCTCTCTGCCTCCTGACTGCTGGGATTTAAAGGTGTACACCAGCACAGCCCAGCTGTAGTTGGTTTTGTTTTACTCTTTTCGGGCCCACCACCCAGCTCCCAAATAAATACACAGAGACTTATTATTACTTAGGAACATCCAGCCTTAGCTTGTTTCTAGACAGCTTTTCTAAATTTAATTAAACCTTTTCTCTTTATGTTTTGCCTCTGGGCTTTTTACCTTTCTTTATTCTGTGTCTTTCTTTCCTTCTTACTCCATGGCTGGCTGGGTGGCTGGCACCTGATGTCCTCCTTTCCTTGCTCTCTTCTCTAAGTCTAGATTTCTCCTATTTACTTTCTCTGCCTGTCAGTCCTGCCTATTCCTCTCTCTTGCCTAGTTATTGGCTGTTCAGTTATTAGACCAATCAGGTGTTTTAGACAGGCAAAGTAACAAAGCTTCACAGAGTTAAAGGAATGACACATAAAAAAAATGCAACAGATCTTAACAGAGAAGTATTTCTTCAAACCAGTTCCCTTCTCACTAAGAAAAGATGCTGAGATAAATACACTGTGATGCATTTCAGTTTAAACAGCAATTTTTCTGTGTAAGATGGCTCAGTAGATAATTTGTAAGTTGACTTCATTAAGATGCAGACTACCATCTCAACCAGACAATCAGGACAATCACAGAGCAGGTAGGTCAAACAGTCATGACAAACATGAAACAGGAAGGTTCCTCCTTAGAAATAATTTGCCCACTCTCCATAAAACTGTAATCCACAGTTATGGAGGTATAGCTAAGGAAAAGGATACTGCCCATGTTGTATTTTCTACAAATAAAAGAAAAACCATTTCTGTTACAAGATCTGAACCTAAGTCAGGCCAGTTCATTCTGTGAAATGCAAAGAAATTAAAATTCTTCAGTTACTTTCATGGTCATAGTTTTTTTATTTTTTACAAAAGTTAAACTGTCATTCTCTCAGGAATAAACTCAAATACAGACAACAAAATGGCAGCTGTCTCACTGGGAGCTCTGGAGCTCACAACAAGGCCGCTTTGAGGATGAAAACTACTTACAACAAGCTGCTCTTCCTTCTCTCCAGTTTCCTTAATTATGATCTCAATCTCCTGGTTCAGTCCTTCCACACTGTTCCGGAACCGAGAGCCTGTCGACTTGGTGATGGGGACGACGGGAACAAGTGTGCTCTTTGGAGCAGGGGCCTTAAGGTGAAGAGGGATGAAGAGTTTTCAAGGTGTCATAACTCAAAATCAAGTCCAAACAATACCCACAGACCTCAAAAACTTGAAAGCAACCATATCATCACCTTAGGATATATGAGACGCAGTTAAAGCTCAAACCCCAGACAGACAGACTCAGAAATTCATCCACTTCTGTGATAGATTAGAAGGATCATTATGATAACAGCAAATACTACTCCAAGAATATCAACCTCAGAAATGCTTCCATGGAGCCAGTGAGGTGGCTGTGTGTATAAAGGTGCCTGCCACCAAGCCTGACAATGGCATTCAACATCCAGGGTCCACACAGTAGAACCCCTTCTAAAGTCTGTATATAACAACAGGAGTACATAACTGCAAATAACTTTCCTGTAACATTTATTCATTTATACCTCTACTGTATGGTTTTAAAATGTTCAGCTCAGGAAAAAGAATAATAAAATTCAAGCTGGGTGGTGGTGGCACATGCCTTTAATCCCAGCACTCAGGAGGGAGAGGCAGGTGGATCTCTGTGAGCTCAAAGCCAGTCTGGTCTACAGAGTAAGTTCCAGGACAGTCAGAGAGCTATACAGAGAAATCCTGTCTCTAAAACATACATACAAACAAATATATATTTTTCCAAGAAATTCACCTCTAATTTCCTCTTATTAGAGTGTTTCTCATTGTCACAGTGCTACTTTTTAAGTATCAGTAACAGATTAAATAATTATGTTACCTGACCCTCTAACAAGATGCTCAAAATAAAACACAGAACAGTTTATGGTAGTATCTGCAGAGTTACAGGCAATGGTGTATCAGAAGCTCACTGTTCTGTCTGATAGGGATCTAAGACTGACTCATTCTCATCCACCTGGGAGAGGTGGCCAAAGAGACAAACACTAACAGGCTTCCAGCCATTTATCTCTAGTTTCATTCAATGGATAATCTTTTTTTAGAATGCTTATTTTATATGCATTAGTGTTTTGTTTGCTTGTATATCTGTGTGAGGGTGTTAGATCCTCGAGGACTGGAGTCATAGACAGCTGCAAGGGTGATGGGAATTGAACCTTGGACCTCTGGAAGAGCAGTCAGAGCTGCTGAGTCATCTCTCCAGCCCCCTCAATGGATAATCTTATTGTCTGACACAAATTTAGAATGGTTTTATTTCTTCTCTTTTAGTTCTGTTAATCTTTAACATAAACACACAAGACAAAACCAGTAAACACAGTACAAGAATCCTTGTGAAATAGGAAATTGTAAGAAAGAAGCCAAAAGAAATCTACTTTGTTGTTAGTGTAGAGAGCCCTCAGAGGTGGGGCTCAACACCCTATCTTCTGGGCAGGCACCTTCCTTCATCTGTGAGGAAGGGCTCAGCACCCTAATTCATGGTTTTGAAGTACAAAACGAGCACCTGCCCTGTGTTCTATCCATAATGGACACACTGTTTCTTAACTAGGCTTTCCTATTTTTAACCCCTCTGTTTACACATTTCTTTTCACTATACCCAAGCTTCTCACTTTTAATTTATTTCTTAAAATTATTTTCTTTATTTCTATTTTTAAGTGTATTGCTGTTTGCATGTATGTCTGTGTACCACATGCATGCAGTGCCCAGACAGGCAGTCTGGAAGTGAGATTGTCAGAAACTGAACTCAGATCCTCTGGAAGAGCAGCTAGTGCTCTTAACCACGGAACCATGTCTCTAAACCCCCATTTTTTAAAATTTCTAATTCCTTTAAAGTTCTACTCCCTCTTCTAATCTCAACATCTACTCCCGAAGGAAAACATGAAGCCACTTGCTTAAATTTTATTTTTTATGTGTACAAATATGATTCATGCGCATGCAAAGGCACCAGAGGCCAGAAGAGGCACAGGTCCCTGGAACAGCCCGTTGTGAGCCACCATGTGAGCGCTGGGAACCAAACGGGGGTCCTCTGCGAGAGCAGCTGATGCTCTTCATCACTGAGGCACCTCTCCTCCAGCTCTCAAGTATCTTATGTTTAGACAACAGCGTGGGTTTTGGTGGGGACAACAAGTGAGGCATTAAGCTATGTAACTTAGGTAGGCCCTTAACATCAATTCCTGGAATATGGAATATTATTGGTACAAGAAATAGAAAAAACTTTTGGACTGTGATTCCTAATACCAAATAGAATAGCAAATTATTCCCATCTGCTGTTGTGGTGGCTTAGGAATTGCCCCTAAAGGCTCATTGGTTTGAATACTTGGGTCACCAGAGAGTGGAACAGAGGTGTGACCATATTGGAGGAAGTGTGTCACTGGGAGTGGACACTGAGGTATCACAAAGCCCAGTTTCTCTCTCTTCCTACTGCCTGCAGATCCAGATGTAGAACTCTTAGCTACTTCTCTAGCACCATGTCTGTCTGCTGGTTGCCATGCTCCCTGACATGATGACAATGAAACTGTAAGCAAGCCCCAGTTGGATGTTTTCCTTCCTAAAAGCTGCCATGATCATGGTTTCTGCTCACAGCAACAGAAGACTGACTAAAAGAGAAGTTGACACCAGGGTACATTGCTGTGATAGCCCGAGCATGGCTCATGTTGGCAGAATGTGGACTTTGAATTAGGAAAGCAGTTGAATACTGTAAGCAGTGCTTAACGTTCATTATGGCAGCTCAGTTCAAGAGGTTTCACAGGAGAATATTAATAAGCAGCTTAGAGACTGTTCTTGTGATATTTTGGTGAAGCATGTGTCTGCTTTCTGCCCTTGCCCCCCTCCCCAAAGAAAATCTGCCTGAGGCTAAATTGAGTTTTGGATTAATGGCATTGGCAGAGTAGATTTTAAGACAGTCCAGTACTGACTCTTGTCATGTGGTATTAGTGGTCACTGTTATGCAGATCTATAATGAAAAGGAGCAAGCTGACCAAGGAAAAATAACAAAATGTAGAGTTTGAGGAGAAAAGGAGTCCTAGGAAGTATAGTGGAGTTGAGTCCAGTGATCAAGAGAGTTTAAAGGAAATCCTTATGCTAAATGGAATAAGGGAGTGGTGACCTCAGGGGTAAGACCTCACCCAGATAAACTTCCAACTCCTGGAAAGAAATTAAAGGAAAGCTTAAACAATGAGAGAAATCATCTACAACAAAAAGCTGGTGAGGATATAATTGAATGAGGAGGGCCATGTTCTAGTCCTAACAAGCATAGAACTTGGCAGTTTCAGCCACATGGTTCTTTCTGGCTTTAGAGTAAAGGACACAGAGAGGGATGTAGACTCTCCCTTATGGCTAAGGAAAGTTGCTGAGGCAAGGCATGTGTCAGGGGTGTCCTGCATGAAGACCCAAGGAGGCCATTTCATGAGGCTTTGAAAGTAAAGGCTGGATTGCCTTGGAGAAAACAAGATGTTAGAGATGCCAGAGTTGTGGGATTCCTGGTGAGAAGAGCAGGAGACGGTGTGGAACTAGCTGAGAGGAGCTGGAGATCTGAAGAGCAGAGATGTGGAGATACAGGGTTTGAAGTTTGCGCTGGTGGTTTTTGATCTTACTTTGGTTCAGTGTTTTCTTACTATGTTCCCTTTTCTCTCTTTTGGAATGGTAATGTATATTTTGCATCATGGTATGATGGAAGTATGTGGTCTGATTTTTACAAGGTATTACATGAGTCTCAGAAGAAACTTTCAACTTTGGACCTTTTTTGTTTTGTTTTGTTTTTCAAGGTTTCTATGTGTAACAGCCCTGGCTGTCCTCAAACTCACAGAGATCCACCTGCCTCTGCCTCCCCAGTGCTGGGATTAAAGATGTATACCACCATTGTCTGGCTCAGCCTGACTCAATTTTGGACTTCAACAGTGTTGAGACTATAGGGGCCAGGGAGTGTGGTTGTTTAAATGAGAATGACCACTCACAGGCTCCTAGATCTAAATACTTGGTCATCAGGAAATGGCACTATTTGAAAGGATCAAGAGTTGTGGCCTTGTTGGAGTTAGTTTGTCACTGGGTACAGGTTCTGAGGCTTTCAAGGGCCCAAGCCAGGCCCAGAGGTTTTCTCTCTTAATATATGAAATCTATCTTCTTTCAAACTCTAAAACTAGATTTACTTTCACTTAGCCTTTGCTAGTTACATAGATGAAGAGTCTCAGTTGCTTTTCTTTTTCTTCTTTCAAGACAGGGTTTCTCTGTGTAGCTTTGGAGCCTATCCTGGCATGCACTCTGTAGACCAGGCTGGCCTCGAACTCAGAGATCCACCTGCCTCTCCCTCCCAAGTGCTGAAGCGCCACCACCGCCTGGCTTCAGTTGCTTAATTTATGTATTGTTGAGCATAAGTGAAGGTGACTTGATTACTGTCTGTTCTGAGGAAAGCAGAGGCTACAGTCATTTTTTTAAAAACAACGACTGAAGCCTTCTCTCAGTACTTGAATATGTTCTATACCCCATACCACCCTGAGACAGAAGGTTACCTGTATTCTCATTACTCAGTATGCTTACATATCAACTGTCAGTTTTCCTTTCTTTGGCTTTCAGTCATTTGTTCTTTGTGTTATAAGTTTTTTACCAGTCTTGTGCAATATGCTGTGAATATTTTGTTTCTTATTTTATTTCATTTACGACGTTTTCAGCCATAAAACAATTAAGCTTGGGCTGGAGAAATGGCTCAGAGGTTAAGAGCACTGGCTGCTCTTCAGAGGTCCTGAGTTCAATTCCCAGCAACCACATACATGGTGGTTCACAACCATCTATAATGAGATCTGATGCCCTCTTCTGGCATGCAGGTGCACATACAGACAGAATACTATATGAAGTCAAATTCTATCTTCTCCAAGTGGCCACTAACTGTCCTCATGCTAGCTGCTCACAAGTTTGCTTCACATCAGTAACTGAGATGGTTTGCCAACAGTGTTTTAAGTACCTGAATTAGCTTGGGCTCACTGCAGTCTAAATTTTACGCTTTAAGTAACTTTTGATGCCTGGTAGGCCTAAATACCCTGTTTTCCTGTTCCGTTTCCCTGGTTATACACAACTGCTGCTTTTCCTTATGGACTTTAGTAGCA